CCCAGCGCTGGGCGTTTGCGAGGCCGTCACATCAGCCCCAGCAGCAACAGCCTCTGTTGCATCCCCTCCCGCAGCCCGCAGCCGCTGTCCCTCCTGCTCCTGCTCCTGCCACCAATCGACAATTCGCCCGGGCTTCTCCCTCAGCCGACAGGGCACGGCGTCGGCGGCGGGGGAGGGGTGGGCCTCAGTCCTGATGTTCATGGTGGGGGGGCCCGGTTCCTCAGTAGAAGGAGGGACCGGCCCGGTAGGGGGGAGGCTGATGCTTTTCACCCACGAATGGGAACAGCTGTCTCCGGACAGCTGGATCATGCAGACTATATCCCGTGGGTACCAGATAGAGTTTACTTCCCCTCCGGTTGCGTACGGAGGGATGAGCACGCCCATTCCAGCCTCCCCCGAGAAGAGGGAAGCCCTGTTTTCAGGGGTGAACGACCTTCTTTTGAAAGGGGCTGTGGTCGAAGTTTTTCCGACTACCGAAGACAAGGGGTTCGTTTCCACACTCTTCCTGACAGAAAAATCGTCAGGCGGATGGCGCCCTATCCTAAATCTGCGGCGGCTGAACCAATGGGATCAGACCGCAAAAATTCCGCATGGACACTCTCGCTCTTATTCTCCAGGGGCTCATGCCCGGGGACTGGGCTGCTACTATAGACCTCAAGGATGCTTACTTTCACGTGCCTATCTTCCCAGAAGATCGCAAATGGCTGCGTTTCCGTCTGGACGGTCGTACGTATCAGTTCAAAGTTCTTCCCTTCGGTCTATCCACGGCTCCTTGGGTGTTTACACGGGTGGTAAAATCCCTAGGTGCTGTGTTCCACGCGAGAGGGATAAGTATTTTCATGTACCTAGACGACTGGCTCGTGGTCGCAAATTCCCGAGTGACTCTGTTGCATCATCTCAGCATTGTCTTAGACATGACGGAAACAGTAGGGTTCATTATCAACCGGGAGAAATCGGTTTTGGTTCCCATGCAACTTCCGCTGTATCTGGGGGCGCACATCGATCTTGTTCGTTCAGTAGCGTTCCCCTCCACGGGTCGGATCTGAAAGTGCCAACTAGCAATCACTCAGCTTCTTTCCCTTCCGCATTCCCCAGCCGAGTCGTGGCTGCGGATGTTGGGGTTTCTCGCGAGCCTGGTAGACCTAGTTCCTTATTGCCGGCTTCGTATGCGCCCTCTTCAACTGCATCTGCTCGCGTTTTTCTCTCCAGCGTCTCGGGACTTGTCAGCTCAGATTCCCTTGAACGCATTTGTCGCCAGGCACCTCCGGTGGTGGCTTCAGGAGAGCGTGCATCAGGGCGGGAAGTCTTTCCCCGACCCTCTCCCCGTCATTCGCTTTTCGGCCGATGGCTCCCTCGGGGGTTGGGGCGGTTGTTCGCTCACGGAGCGCATCGCGGGGGACTGGTCGCTGGAAGAATCCGCCAGTCATATAAACGTTCTGGAGCTTTTAGCAGTTCGTCGGTCTCTGGAGGCCTTCGTCGATCGGGCAAGGGGGAAAGCTGTGCTAGTTCATTCTGACAGTTCAACCGTGGTCTCCTACATCAACCGCCAGGGCGGCACGCATTCACCAACGCTATGCTTCCATACATGGCAGCTCCTACTTTGGTGTCTCAGCCATCGCATTCATCTTCGAGCAGCTCACATTCCCGGCCGACTGAATGTCCTCGTCGATGCGCTGTCTCGACGTCGGTTGCCTCC